CCCCCCGAGCTCAGAGCACATGAGCTGACCAGGACTGCGAGGGTGTCACCAAGCCCTAGGGACCCCCTGGGGAAGGAGACCACAGAAAGCCTTCACTGGGAGGAGGGAGGCTAAGGTGGGACCCGCAGGAAACTCTCCAGATAAATGACCTGAAGGTGCAGGGGAGGAGGGCCGGGCAGTGCTGGCAGCAGCCTGGGCTGAATGGAGGTGGGAGGGGCCAGCCCAGCAGGCTGTGCTGGGGGCTGGGGGCTGGGGGTGGGGTGAGGGGTCGTTCAGGGGAATGCGGAGGAAGGGATGGAGGCTAGGGATGTGCAGATATCCTCAGGTCTAGCAGGTAAGACACCTGGGCATGCGGGCCAAGGAAGTGTGGGTGGCGCAAGGGCCAATGGGGGCTAGGAGGCTGGGGTCCCCTGCCTGCCTGCCTGCCTGCGGGCTGACCGCTGGTCTGGGGAGGCAGCGGTCAGGGCAGTGTGTCTTAGAGGGGCTGACCCTTGGTCTATAATCTCAGGACCCACGGATGAAGGGGAGTCCGGGTGCACATGCAGGGAGGCCCCTGGGGAACAGGCCAAAGGCAATTCAGACAGCCGAGGCGTCCACTGTGGGGAGCAGAGCCTGGGCCAGGGGGCCAGAGACCCCTCCTTCTTCAGGGGCCCAAGAGCAGCCCCAGCACCCCCATTGATCCCCAAGGTCCAGACACCTCTGGTCCCACAAGGTCCTGCAGCCGCCGCAGGGATACTTCCGGGGAAAAAACGGCTTCCTCCCTAAGGCCAGCTCCCACGTCCTGCCCTGTGTCTGCCAGGCTGCCAGCCCGCTCCCTCCGAGGGCAGCTCGCTGATGGATGGGCGGATTCTGCCCCAGGCAGCACAGGGCGGAGTCAGGGTGAGGGGACGGGACAGGGACAGGTCTGGTGTGGCCTGGAGACGGTGACCAGCGCCCTCCTGGACCCCCCAGACCGGACGGCTTCTGCGGGCTGAGGAAGGGTCTCTGCCATCGCCCCCCACAGCCGCTCGGCATTCGAGCAGCTTCTCCAGACTCTTCACTCTCAGATTCCTTCTTGGCTCGACCAGAACGCCTGGTCCTCAGACTCTCTCGCTTGGGGCTGTGGAGGTCAGAGGGTGGCAGGGGTCGAGGCCGGGGCCGGGGGTGAGTGCCCCATGACCACAGAATCAGTCAACCCATGCCAGTTGCGGAGGCAACATGGAGAGCTCCCCTGCCAGGCCCTAGCCCCACACCCCAGGGCCAGGGCAGAGATGCCACCCCTTGGCTATTTCTAATCACTCCTGTCTCCTGACAGAAGAGAAGGAATGAGCTCCCCGTCTCCTGGATGATACCAACATTTCATAGCCGAGGCCAGAGTGTATCCCACTGATACGGGACCAGCGAGGTTGCGCACGGTTCTGAGCACACGACCCAGGCCCGGCCATCTGGTCTCTCAGCCACACTGTGTCTGTGCTCCACCTGGACAGCCATGAGCCCCACCTGACAGGGGGAAAGCGAGGCACAGAGCAGCCCGGTCACACGGCTGGGGCTGGACTCAGGCCCAAGCTGCCAGAGCTGATACTCCCAGCAACTTTAGCCACGTGGGAAAAGGGAAAGGGAAAGGACTCATGGTGACCGATGGCCTGTCCCTTGAGGGGTCCGGTCCACCGATGGCCTGCCATTAGGGATCTGGTCCACTGTCTCCTCTGATCACTGCCCTCGCCGGATGCCCAGGAGAAAAGCTGTGTGCACAAGCCGGCCAGCCCGGCGTGATGGGGCGCTGGCCAATGCACCCAGCGGCTGACTGAAACGCTGGAGGTTCACGTCCACCCGGATGTGCCTTGGAAGAAAGGCCTGGCAACCCACTTGTGAAAAAGCAGCTGATGAAAACC